CAACAATTCCAACTTTACCGGACGGCTTGTTCTTTTAAAAAATAAGTAGTACATTAAGACTCCGTATAGTGAGTAAAATGTTAAAACCCACCACTCCGTATATATTTATTTTATTTCTTACCAGTTTCTGTTGAATTTCTATTGATTACATTATTTATTTGATTAATTTTGTATGGTTTTAGTTATTTTTCTCATTTTCATTATTTTTGATATATATCTATTTTTTTCTAAGGTAAGAATAATCTTTAAAAAAGAAAAAGAAATGGAGGTTGAAAGTAATTTAAAAAATTTAAATAAAAATTTCAAAAAAATTCAAAAACAAAAATTCATCAAAAATAATCCCAACTTTCATTTTGTTGCCTAAAACGGGCATTTCCGTTAAACCTCCGTTAGAAATTTAACGGCGACCCAAAATTGGCAAATTTCAATAAAGTTGGGATTATTATGCATCACAGTGAAAGGTGGGATTATTTTTGAAAGACTGGGTAAAGTTGGGATTATTTTGGGTAATTTTTCCTTCTTTTAATAGCACTAGTGTTAGGAAGCTACATGTTTGAATGACGCAGGGCTAATGAAAAGATTATAATGACCTTCACTTATTTTTGTAGATCTGTGCCACCGTTTTCCATTCAAGTCGCGGGGATCCCTAAAATCACGGCATTTCCTTCGATGGGCTCTTCGTCGTAGAAGGTAATTCGCCCTCGAAATTTGGATTGGAATAGGATGCGGCTTTCAAGTGCGTGCTTAAACCCTAAATTGGCTAAACGCCCGAGGAGAGATTTGAGAAACAGAGACACAAAAATTGGAGGGGTTCGGGCGACGAAGACAGAGAGAATAAATAGAGAGTCGCCGATTATGATGTCAGCGAGGAAGATGACGATGCCTACTGGAGGTGCTATTGACGCAAACTCCGACTTTGTTGATGAACAGGGCAGTGAAATTACTGTCAAATGCATTTCTAGAGAGGTTAGTTTATTGAACCTATGCCATTCTTTTTGAAATTATTTGTAGAGGAGATATTTTTATTAGTGTTTTGTGTTCTTTTGGTGAAAACTAATGTATTATAGTGTTGTAGTGTGCTGCATGTTTTGGGGGGTTTTTTGCTGAATGATAATTACTAGACAGTGTAGAGGATTGTGGGATTATGAGGGTGTTGTTCTTTGAATGTGCATATTTTTAAAGATTAAGCGTGATTTAGAGGTTTTGGAGGGAATTAAAAACATTTTCAGTAGAAAGTGACTATAGTGTTTCCTTGGGGTCAGTATAATGTTTTTTAATGTTTTTTGTTAGTGTGTTATGAAGCTTTGTGTTCTTTTTTGTCGTGAAGTGTCTTGCATGTTTTGGTTTTTTTTGAATGATAATTAATAGACAGTGTATAGGATTGTGGGATTATGAAGGTGTTGTTCTTTAATTGTGCATATTTTTAAAGATTAAGCGTGTTTGAGAGGTTTTTACTGAATTGAAAACCTATTCAGTAGAAGGTGAGTGTAGGGTGAGTATAGTGGTTTTTAATGGTCAGTGTAGTGTGAAATGAGTTTTTATTATTATGGTCAGTATAAGGATAATTTAGTGGTCAGTGTTTAAAAACTGTGCAGTCTTGTGGGTTTTGGAGGATAGTTTTTTTTAATGTGCATAGTATTGAAGGATAATGATAATTTGGAGGTTTTGAAGAGGTTGAAAACCATTACACTACCAAGTGTGTGTATTGTTTTCTTAGGGTAAGTGCAGTGTCAAATGAGTCTGTTTTTTTATGGTCAATATAAATTGCTATCTCCATGTTGGTTGCAATAACAATTAGGTTTTTAATGACCAAAGTAGACCAGTGCAGTGTGTTGCATATTTTGTCAGTGTTTATTATTTCCAATGTTTTTAGACACAGGGCAGTGTTGTGGGAATTAGGAGGGCAGTGTTGGTTGAATGTGCACAGTATTATAGATTTATGATTATTGATATGTTTTGAGGGAATTGAAAAACAATTCAAAAAACTGGTGTACTAACTGCTATAAATGAATAAACTTAGGTGAATGGGGTTTTGTTTGTTCGTAGAAGATAATATATGTTTTTTAAGTGTTGTTGTGACATATGAGATGATGCATATTCTTTTTTAGGACATTGCGTATACATGGGCAAAGTAAAGGGCAGTGTGTATATTAATATAGAATTAGAGATTAATCACAACCCCCCTGAAGGGTATGGACAATGTGTGAGATATGTGTTATGGACAGTGTGTGGGTATGCCAAACTTCAGGGACAGTGAGTCAATCACATAATTGGCTATGGTTTAAGCAGTGACCTTAGGAAAAATAGATAGGCGATAGTATAGCCAGATATACTTTTATGAACATTAAAGTATGTTAGACGGTACTTTAAGGAAATGCATTTACGCACTTATTTTTTGAGTCATTGGTGTGGAGTGTGATATGAATGAAGAATTCTCTAATACACGTGACTTGTATGCGTACAATAGGTTAAAACCTTTAAAACACTGTGGGTGGTGATGGAGGGACAAGCTTTTTTCATGTGTGTGGATTACAACCTTTATTTCCCTTTGCAGGTTTTTCTGCCAGTTTTAATGGGTAAGTTGGCGCTATATAAGGACAGTTGGATAGCGAAGAATCTCACACTGCGTTTCTAGTTGAACCTATCCTGGAGTGTCCGCAAAAAAAGAACGGGTAAAACTTTTATACCCTGATATAGTTTTTTTTTTGAGGTGTTACTGTTGTCCGTTAAGTAGCAAAGTTTAGTTAAAAACTATTTGAAGGATAAATGAATTTATAAGTGTATTTTATTTTTTTATAACAGACCAAGCTCCGAAATTTTTGTGATGAAAATGGCAGAGCTTCTGATGATGGGGAGAGAAGTGATTGAAATCGAGCCAGGACAAATAAATACATATCGAAAGAAAATTATTGCGGACCTATTAATGTATGCTTTCTTTCAAGGACTCTAAATGCTGGGAATAACAGGGTTATTTAAGTGAATGCATGGTTGCAACCGTCATGGAGACTTAGATCTTTGATACCCGCTAAAAAAACAGAATGTTATCTTTTTTTTCTTTTCTATGTCCTTTTTTTAAATTTGGAATACTTGTAGTTTTTTCAGGTAGTATTGAAAATGTTAACCAGTTGATTTTTGGTAATCAAATATTCATTTTGTTAGTAGAAGCGTGGTTATTTTAGAAGAAGCATAGTGAATATTAGAATGGTGGAAGAATAACAAGCTAACTTATACTTGTGCAGTGGCTAGGAATGAGGTGTTTTTAAGGGTCGGTGTAGTGTGAAATGATGTTTTTTTAATGGTCAGGTTCTGTAATGGTCATTAGAACGCGCTATATCCATGCTGGTTGGTCTATGTGTTTTGTTAAAGGTCAGTATATTATGAAATGGGTAGTATGACCAGAGGAGATCAGTGAAGTGTATTGCATACATTGTCAGTGTTAATTATTTCCAAAATGTTAAAAAACATGTTTCGGATAATCTGGGGGCAGTAACATATGATAAAGTTGTGGGGAGTGGTACATGAGAAAGTTGTAGGACAGTGTTATATGTGGTTTAAAAAAGTAGTACTGATTTGTGTTTACAAACTTCAATTAGAACAATGATTTATTTTTAAAACTATGCATAGTAATTCGCACTAGAAAACATTAAAAGGGCCGAAGATGTAATGAGGTTTTATTATAAAACAAATTAAGAAGAGGGCAGTACTACTAATAAAAGTTTGTTCCTGTGGTCAAGCAAAATAGAGAATGACACTAAAAATAGCGTTCAAAAGCAGCTAATAAGAAACCATTTTTAAAGTGAAATGCATTTCTTCTGTTAAGGAACCTAAAACTCTGTGGTGCAAGATTGATTTTGCTCACGAACGACATACTGGAAGTGGATTAGTACATGTTTTTTTGTTATGTCGGGACATTGTGCAACGTGAACAAGTCTGCCTCCTCCTCTCTCCGTTAGATGGAATCCTTCTCTTTTTTGGCCTTCCCGGTGGACGTTTAGTGCATGAAGGCGGAAAACATGGGATAGTGGCGACTTCATCAGGGACTATCCATGAGTCTCTAGTAGGAATTGGGTGTATGACTCCATTATACGCAAGTTTCCACTCCACACTTGTGTAGAATGGGGATATGAAGTCATAACATGATAAGCCTGGCCTATTGCGTAAACATTTGCAAGAATATCAAGACTGGAGAAGTGAAGGACAGTGTGTACTCCATTTAAAAGTGCATGATATTTACAGACCTCATGGAGAATATGGACAATGTGTGTGATAACCTGG